CCAATATTCCTGCCCAAACGTTAATTTTTTCTGGATATTGGGTATGTGTTTCCCGGAAAACGTGAGGGTTGGTGTCACTCCAATAACGGCAATTTTGTATGTGAACATTGCCGTTTAAAAAAATGTACATTCGTCACTAAAACAAATATTGTGGAGATAGGTAGGATGCCTTGCAATGGTTTCCGCCATGATTTCGCAGAATTCTGTTCTTCGATCAGGGTCACCTTCAGGTCAGAATAAAGTATTCATGCATTAATTTCATTATCCCAAATTTCAATTTTTTGCGTAGTCTCGTTCAAAAAATAAAAGTGGGGGCGATTCAAAGAAAAGTACTGTACTTATATCGTATATCATACGTAGGTACTGTTTAAATCAAATGTATAATTCTGTCCCCGACTTAATAGATTTATGATTTCAAAATAATAAAAAATGGAAAGAAAGCATAAACATCGAAGCTGTTTCTGAGAACTTCTGAGAAAAATTAATTCGACTAACTTTGGAGTCATAGAAAAATTATAACCAAATGTTCAGCACTTTTTTGAGAAGAACAAAAAGGTTCCATGAACTTTAATGGTAGTCTTTTTTTTATAAAAAATCTGGTGTGCTGGTTCTCATAAGAGACAATGTGTTCTAGTTTCTGTTTAGAAGTTGTTTAAATAAATTTGCTAGTGTGCCGCTAGGTTAAATGTTACTTTTCGTTTGTTAAACAAAATACATGGATTTGATCAAAACCATTACCAAAAAACAACTACAAATGCACTAACCTTTTTTATCATGTTTCTTGTCTCCTATTTTGTCTATTCGATCCCTGGACGCACTTTTTCTCGGCTTGGCTCCTTTGCTGTTCTTCTGATCGGCATCTATATTAGTGATCGACGAGGTTCTCGACAAATTATCCCCCAAATTATGTCCTTCTAGTTTGGAGTTCTGACCTCTACGGAATATTGCTTTGATACTCTTCATCTTATGTGTTATAAAATAAGGCACTCTTCTGGTCGATTTTATTAAAACTATAAGGCACTGCTACGTTTAATCAACACCAATTGTTCAATAGGCACATTTATCAGTCTCGAATGTTACAGAGTCGTGATTCAGTCATAATATTATTACAATTCGTGAGCTTGTGAGCTTAGGTAATGTCTTTCTATAAAATCCTTATCTGATGTTTACCTGCAATATTGATAAATATATCAAAACATAATTTGTTACTACCTTACTGTGTTCTCATTTTGTTTCGCTCTAGAAAAGTAAACACAATTACTGTATTGACACAATCTTCAAGGTGGACAAAATAACTTCATTTTATTTTTACCATCTAGATTCAGATAGTTAACAAGAAGCATTATGTATTTTTATTCGTGTGATTTAAAAAGACATTTGTTTTCGAAGGATTGAATCTGTTGATGCCAACTTACTACATATTTATTATTAATTCATTTCTGTGAACAGTTTAGGATATTTTCCAATATGGAACGATGCCGCCGTATATTGATCTAAACGAAGTTTCAAATGAAATTTCAATGATGATCTCGACAATAATTTAATAAACTTTGTTTCAACTTTCAAATGTCGCTTTGAAGCCATCGAGGCTAGAAGTTCTGTCGAAGTCGATAACATTATTCTCGCTGCTTCTAGATTGGTGGGGAATCATCGTACACTCGCGCGCTCTTAGCCACGTCACGCCTGGTTTATGGCTACCAATGGCGGCCGGCGTTATTTTCTTTCGGGCATAATTTACAACAATATCATAAATTAAAAAGAGGTTTGATTGTGCCATCATGCTGAATTTGAATGAAAATGTAAATTGAAGAACTGCAAAAGTATGGAGCCGCTCTGTCTCGAAAATACGAGCAAGATTTAAGCACCGTTGAATTCTGCCAGAAATTCAACGTTTTTAAAGAGAAAGAACTCCCCTTTCTTTCGGTGATATTGAAAAGGCTAACAGTTGCTATCTCTTGCAACATATCTATGCGGATGCTTTGCAGGATGCTTTTCCTAATATTTGTATTGCTCTGTGAATTTACTTCACGATTCCTTCTACATCCGCAAGCTGTGAGCGAAGCTTTAGCAAACTATAATTATTTAAAAATTATTTGCGATCTTCCATGAGCTAGGAACGCTTATCGAGTCTTGCAATCTTAGCAGTAGAAAATCGAATTGCACAAGTTAAATTATGACAAGGCCATAGATTCATTTGCTGAACAAAAAGTTTGAAAAGTAAAATTGTAATTTCAATACACTATATGCACTAATATATTTCGTTTTGATTTTTAGTATACATACATATTTTTATTTTGAATTATATCCTGTGCTAAGTATAAAATATATGTCCTACACGTTCATGTCTATATATCTGTAAATAAATAGGCGCAACACAGAAAAAACAGCGATGGATGCATTATTTCTGGTAGACCTATGTCCAAATATCAATCATTTGGTGAATGTAAAAATAAATATAAGTGGGTGGAGGCGGCATTTTTCTGTTTTTGCCCCGCCTAAAAAGAGGTATTTTAACGACCCCGCTGCTGGCTGCATTGCTCAAGGTACAATAGGGTACAATAATGCTAAGATTCCTGCATACAATCTTGTCTATTGATATATAACTCAAAAGAAAGAGGTTTCGCCAAGGTACATATCGAATGTTCATCTGAGTCGAAGTCAAAATATGTTTTTTCAGTTAACTAGCTGTCGCACCCCTACGAACGACAACCCCCTAGAAGTCGAAACTTGTGCGAGCTAAGGACTAACGAGATCTTACCTTTCAACGGGTGATTCCTAACACGGGTTGGACGATAGCAAGTGAAAATCGAGCGTTCAGTCTGGGGCTTGAACCATCGACTCACACATCGGCCTATTGACTGAGTGACCAAAGCACCCACGTCGAACTGCCCGGCAACCGACCAACCAATATACTACGTTTTTTTTTCGAGTACCTTCTCGAGATATATCTCGATATCGTTATTCTTGTGTGCAAGAATGTACATTTAATATTAATTTTCTCTATTTTTCTTGATATGACCCCTTTTATGAAAGATTATTACACAGAGACTATCTATTAATCATTGCAATAAGTCTATTAAACCTCAAACCGGGTTTGGAACAATAATCTCGTAGTAGAAGATTTTTTATACACAACCGTTTTCAGTTTCTAAAAAATATATTATTATTTTGAGAATGGTGGAAACGCATTTCATGAAAAGTATATCGCGAACTTGAGAGAATTGTTACCTTTGAGGTAAATGAATCCAATGAGAATCACTTTTTCCAAGCCCAGCACTGTTTCTCCATGCGGGTTTTCCTAACAAAGTTAACATCATTTCCCGATGATAAGTACCAACTGAGTAAACAAAACGTGCATTTTCAAATTTCGCAAAATGTTTCTGAAAAACTCTGTTTCAAGTTCGATTTTTCATATTCAATGATTAAAAAAGGGCCAAGGGAGCGATTAGCACTCACTTTATAACCAATAAAGATAAATAATCATAAATCTATTCAATAAAATATATGCTGCTAATTATCGTTCTGCTCAGCCCTAACTTGTGCATTTAGATTCTAATTTGAATTTCAATAAAAACAAAGAATGCATTCAGCGTAGCGAACAAGCCGAGTTATTAAAATATTTTATATACATCTAGTTATGAATGAAAGAAATTTTATTGCTGATATGGAAGGTCAAACAGTAAATAATATTTCTTTTCCTGGTAACTAGTGTCAATTATAAAACTAGCTTCATTTTCTATAATGAGCCTATTACAGACAATTATCTACAGAAAAGTTGTACCTTTTGGAAACGAGTATTTGAAGACTGAATTATACTTGCCCAAGAGTATAGAGACTCGAAATTTATACTACTCAATAGGAGGCAACACTTTCTGAACTAAATAATCAACCTTTTTCTGAAAACTAATAATTTTTGAAATATTTGATTTTAATTTTCAGAATACATCTTTATTTTAGGAGAAGTATGATTTATTTAGAGAACGAGACCGGAAAGTTCCAATGACGTTTTACAAAATCTTTTTTTTTCAGTGGTAATCTGTCTGTTTAAAAAAAATCTGTTTGAGATCTGTTTTTCCGATAACCAGCTGTCGCCTCCTACGAACGATAACTCTCAAAAGTCGAAATTTGTTGCGAGCTGAAGACTAACGAGGTCTTACCTTCTAACGTGTAATTCTTAACACGGGTTGGACGACAGGAAGTGAAAATCGATCGTCCGGCTTTGCGGCTCGAACCACCGGTTCACACAGCGGTCGATTGAGTGAGTAGAGCAAACCACCCACCTCAACCGATCGGCTACCGTCCGATCAATATCAATAGAATGTCATATAACCCACGTAGAACACTTGGTTTTATTTTTAAGATATTCTTGAAAGAAATCATTAGATAATAGAATATGAAGTTTCCATTACCCAGCAAGGGATTAAAGAGGTCATATCTACCGTGCGAGTTGTAGCGAGCATCAGTTGATACGTGTTGAATACATTTATTGGTCAACTTATACACACACTCACTTAGAATGTGCACCACATCATCCATCGAGTGTCAAAGTAGGGATCGAATCTGCATTCACAATAGCGGTGATTTCATGAGTTCAACTCACTGACTAACCGGCTACTAACCTACCAATTGGTCTGGTAATGAATGTACTAATCATGAATCTTTTTATTCCTGATTGAACTGGCACATTTTACCATTATTGAAAATGTGTAATCTCCATTTTCAAATTCCAAATTTGCAGATTAGTGGCATTAGTGTTCATACTCTTTCGTTTTTCTTTCATTCGAGTCAATGTGTTTTTTCTTTAATACATGTTTGCGTTTAAATACATTTCGGCACAGTCCTGCCTCCGATATATTAGATTTTTTTAAGTGCTCAGAGTAGCATAGCGTTGCTTTTAGCGGCATAAAAAAAATTCCCAGATCTCCTGACTATTTTACGTGGGGCTATTTCAAGAATGAGATTTATAAGCAGCTCTATAATGATGAAAATATACCTCACAACGGTGACTGGGAAAATTGTATTGAAAAAAATTGATGAAATGAGTAGTGTCTTTGTTTGAACCTCGTTAATCCCTAGCTCATACGAATATTTACTTCTGAGGATTATCGTTTGCGTTTTTACACTCAAATTAACTCAGATAATGACCGTCGATTCGAATAAGGTATTTGATATTTATTTTTGGTACCCTCTAATATCTCCTCAATTATTCAATTCACAAAAAATAACTTTCACTTTTATAATTTTAATACTATGCGTGTAACAAAAATTACATACAGGGTTTTCTATTAGAAAATATTCTATTTCAGTCAGAACAGATATGGCTGTTTTGTTTTACCTTTCTATTATTTTATATAATATTTTCAATATTCTTGATTTGATATTATGGTTACATATTACAGGTTCGGACTTCCATTTCTGAAAATGGTGTAATATTGATATACATATATTAGGTATATTTTTGAAATTGCCTTTACCAAGAAAAATTCAAACATTATGGTTAAACTTGTTACACGAACAAAAGAATTATAGGTGACTTATAGACCGATCACTAGCTAATACTGTCAATTATTGGTATTCAAGATGAAATGAAAACTTCAATTTATTAAACGCAATTTTGTAAATGTGTATCACACCGTAGTCGGTCTAAAAAATAAATAGAGCGAAACAATATATGATAATGGCAACAATCTCATCACATATAAATTTTTCAACTACGTCGTGGAACACTTAAACTACAATTAGTCGTGACTAATTTGATGCTTCCATTTTTATCCTTAGATGTCAGATATGACGAGTAATGTTTATTCTCAGTGAATGTATCGATAGTATTCTCGGAAAGAGAAAGATAGTAAAGTTGAACAATCCGATCGTTGGATGAGGCTATCGTAATTATATTTGCAAAATATGTAGATCTAGATAATAGATACGGATGAA